AAATAAATAAATAAATAAATAAATAAATAAATAAATAAATAAATAAAATCTACCAATATTGTATTGATTTTAGAAATCTAAAATAGGCTCAGATAGGTTAAATAAACAGTAATGTGAGAACTATGTTTGAAACAATGTCTGTGTTCATTGTTATATGATTTCTCATAGAATTAATATATTCATTTATGTATAAAATATGCATTATAGTTACCTACCTTAAATGTTTAATACATAAATTTGTCTCTAAGATTACTTTCTAGCATTTAATGTTTACTGAGCTTAGGTATTTTCAATGACCTCTGATTACTTTCTTAGACTATAGTTTTTAAACTCTTTTTCATAAAGTTCAAGAATATTGTAAATATCAAACATGGGGACTGTTGAAGATCATATGGAAAAAGCAGTGGAAAAGATTTTGGGTATCTTATCACTGGTTCAATTCAAGAATCTCTACTTTGATATATTGTATATACAATGGGTTTATTTCCTGATAGATAAATTCATCAAAGTGGAAAATATTGTAAATTGAAAATGCATTTAATGCGTTTTTATGGTTATGGGCTTATTTAAACGTCTTTATGGGTATGGTGCCAATTCTTACAGCCAAGTATTGCTTAACAACTGGTATATGCTCTGAAAAATGCATCATTAGGCAATTTTCTCATTGTGCAAGCATTTTATGGTATAATTTGTACAGTTTACAAAGACTTATATGGTACAGCCTACTATATTCGCAATGCATTTAATACTCTTAAACTACCAGATATCACAGCTTAGACTAGTGTATACCTTAAATGTGTTTGGAACACTTATATTAGCCTATAGCTGGACTAAACGGGCATTTGGCAAGCCACCACATTGGATGGTATTGGTTGTTTGTCTGGGCTGACATGGAGCTTTGGCCCTCAGCACTGCCCAGCAGCATGAGAGACAGTCTTATTACATGTTGTTGACTTGGGGAAGGTCAGAAAAAAAATCTGAAGTATAGTTTCTACTGAATGTGTATCAATTTCATACCATCAAAAAGCTGAAAATTTGTAAGATGAACCATAGTAATTTAGAGATTGATTCTATTTGATTAAAAGTGTGGAAAATTGACCAATTTGGGAAAAAAATGTTAGAAGCAAAATTGCTAATTATTGAAGAATATAAACATTCTGAACGATTTTTGGTAAATTTTGAAAATTGCAGTTGGTTGGTATGCCAAATATGCTTTTGAGGATAGCATCTAAAAGAACTGGTTATCCACATATGCTAATTTTATCCAAAAGTATGACTGCTTTTTTCCATGTGATTTCAGATTGGTTAAAGTGATCAAATTCCCACTCATCATGTCTGTTTTTAATAACTCTGAAGTTAAGATTTTCCTTCTTATTGGGATCCCAGGACTGGAACATGCCCACATTTGGTTCTCCATCCCAATTTGCCTCATGTACCTGGTTGCCCTTCTGGGCAACTGCACCATTCTCTTTATTATAAAGACAGAGTCCTCTTTGCATTAGCCCATGTATTATTTCCTTGCCATGTTGGCGGTCTCTGACATGGGCCTGTCTCTGTCCTCTCTTCCCACCATGCTGAGGATCTTCTTGTTCAATGCAATGGGAATTTCACCAAATGCCTGCTTTGCTCAAGAGTTTTTCATCCATGGATTCACTCTCATGGAATCTTCAGTACTTCTTATTATGTCCTTGGATCGCTTTCTTGCCATTCACAATCCTCTTAGGTATAGCTCTATCCTCACTGGTGATAGGGTTGCCAAAATAGGACTAATTTTAGCCATTAGGAGCATTCTCTTAGTGCTTCCATTCCCGTTCACACTAAGGAGATTAAAGTATTGTCAGAAGAATCTCCTTTCTCACTCATACTGTCTTCATCAAGATACTATGAAGCTGGCCTGCTCCAACAACAAGATCAATTTTATCTATGGCTTCTTTGTTGCCCTCTGTACTATGTTGGACCTGGCATTGATTTTTCTGTCTTATGTGCTGATCTTGAAGACTGTCCTCAACATTGCATCTGTGGCAGAAAGGCTCAAGGCCCTAAATACCTGCCTCTCCCACATCTGTGCTGTGCTCATCTTCTATGTACCCATCATCACCTTGGGTGCCATGCATCGCTTTGCCAATCACAAAAGCCCCCTTGCCATAATCCTCATTGCAGATACGTTCTTGTTGGTGCCACCCCTGATGAACCCCATTGTGTACTGTGTAAAGACTCGACAAATCCGGGAGAAGGTCTTGGAAAAGTTGCTTAATATATGTGGGAGATGAGAACTTCAATTTTTAGACACTAAATTCTCAACCAGAGTTTATTGGTACCTGCAATATGTTCATTACTATGGTGGTCACTACCTAGTGGAGGACTCAAGGAGGATTGAAAAATTATTTAATAAAGAACATGTAATACACTTGAGAATATAATCTAAGCAGGTTAGAAGGAATAATCAGGAGATATATGATAAAATTTGTAGGGACTTTATTAACATTTTAAGAAGAGCTAACAAAACACATATGTGTGATGATGGATTAGTTGGATCTGAGTCAGGCCATAACAAATGAATACAATTCGGGTTGATTGAAATTATTTTCAATTAGCATTTATTAAAAATACATATTATAAACTTTTTTCTAATTGCCAGAGGCTTATGTGTTGCTAGAGAGACACAGACAGAAAGAGGAGAGAGAGAGAGAGAGAGAGAGAGAGAGAGAGAGAGAGAGAGAGAGAGAGAGAGAGAGAGAGAGAGAGAGAGAGAGAGAGAGAGAGAGAGAGAGAGAGAGAGAGAGAGAAAGCACTCCCAATGAGGTATGGTCATGCTGTAGCCCCCTGTCCTCCATTTCTCCATCCTGTTGGGATTTTGAAGACATCTGGTGGGTAGTGATGACTGGGAATGCATAGAAGGAGAACAAAAGGATTTAGGTTTTGTTGTTATTTTTGTTGTTATGAAGTAAACATAATTTTGGGGAAACTCACAAATTCAATCAAGCACTACAAAATAACTTTAAACCCTATAAATGGATTGTTTTGTTTTTTAATTTAATCTTTTCTTTTTACAAAAATTAATCCTATAATATTTATATTTCAAACTATTAAAAGCGTGTTTTTTGGGGACCAGCAGTTAGTGTAATGGCTGTGTTGCTGGACTCCCACGTAGTTGACCGTGGTTCACGTCCCGGACCCGGTGGCTTAAAACTCATGCCAGGCGCGTGTGCATGTGTGCCCAAGATCCTGAGAGGAGAATGGAGGAGAAAGGACTGCGGCATGGCCATCCTCCCTGGGGGGGTGATTTCTCGCTTTCTGTCTCTCTGTTTCTCTCTGTCTGGCGAGCGCACATGCCCTATCCATTCACAATCCCCTTAGGTATAGCTCTATCCTCACTAGTGAAAGGGTTGCTAAAATGGGACTAATCTTAGCCATTAGGAGCATTCTCTTAGTGCTTCCATTCCCGTTCACACTAAGGAGATTAAAGTATTGTCAGAAGAATCTCCTTTCTCACTCATACTGTCTTCATCAAGATACTATGAAACTGGCCTGCTCCAACAACAAGGTTAATGTCATCTATGGCTTCTTTGTTGCCCTCTGTACTATGTTGGACCTGGCATTGATTTTTCTGTCTTATGTGCTGATCTTGAAGACTGTCCTCAACATTGCATCTGTGGCAGAAAGGCTCAAGGCCCTAAATACCTGCATCTCCCACATCTGTGCTGTGCTCATCTTCTATGTACCCATCATCACCTTGGGTGCCATGCATCGCTTTGCCAATCACAAAAGCCCCCTTGCCATAATCCTCATTGCAGATACGTTCTTGTTGGTGCCACCCCTGATGAACCCCATTGTGTACTGTGTAAAGACTCGACAAATCCGGGAGAAGGTCTTGGAAAAGTTGCTTAATATATGTGGGAGATGAGAACTTCAATTTTTAGACACTAAATTCTCAACCAGAGTTTATTGGTACCTGCAATATGTTCATTACTATGGTGGTCACTACCTAGTGGAGGACTCAAGGAGGATTGAAAAATTATTTAATAAAGAACATGTAATACACTTGAGAATATAATCTAAGCAGGTTAGAAGGAATAATCAGGAGATATATGATAAAATTTGTAGGGACTTTATTAACATTTTAAGAAGAGCTAACAAAACACATATGTGTGATGATGGATTAGTTGGATCTGAGTCAGGCCATAACAAATGAATACAATTCGGGTTGATTGAAATTATTTTCAATTAGCATTTATTAAAAATACATATTATAAACTTTTTTCTAATTGCCAGAGGCTTATGTGTTGCTAGAGAGACACAGACAGAAAGAGGAGAGAGAGAGAGAGAGAGAGAGAGAGAGGAAAGAGAGAGAGAGAGAGAAAGAGAGAGAGAGAGAGAGAGAGAGAAAGCACTCCCAATGAGGTATGGTCATGCTGTAGCCCCCTGTCCTCCATTTCTCCATCCTGTTGGGATTTTGAAGACATCTGGTGGGTAGTGATGACTGGGAATGCATAGAAGGAGAACAAAAGGATTTAGGTTTTGTTGTTATTTTTGTTGTTATGAAGTAAACATAATTTTGGGGAAACTCACAAATTCAATCAAGCACTACAAAATAACTTTAAACCCTATAAATGGATTGTTTTGTTTTTTAATTTAATCTTTTCTTTTTACAAAAATTAATCCTATAATATTTATATTTCAAACTATTAAAAGCGTGTTTTTTGGGGACCAGCAGTTAGTGTAATGGCTGTGTTGCTGGACTCCCACGTAGTTGACCGTGGTTCACGTCCCGGACCCGGTGGCTTAAAACTCATGCCAGGCGCGTGTGCATGTGTGCCCAAGATCCTGAGAGGAGAATGGAGGAGAAAGGACTGCGGCATGGCCATCCTCCCTGGGGGGGTGATTTCTCGCTTTCTGTCTCTCTGTTTCTCTCTGTCTGGCGAGCGCACATGCCCTATAGCAAAAACCTCTCAAAAAATAAATAAATAAATAAATAAAATAAAAAGGAAAAAGAAAAAAAAAGTGTGTTTCTTACACCTATAAACTTAAAATACATATTTTATGCACTCATATTCCAGCTAGAATTTAAAATAGTCTTCCAATAAAATGTCCAGGCTTTACAATTTAGATGATTAAGTCAATGTGATATTAATATACACAAAAACACATGTAGGATTGTTTAAAATATTTCAGTGTTATAAAATTGTATTAGTGACCAAACACTATGCATTTGTTAGCATTTTGATTACCTCAATGTATATCGTGTATTTGATAAGATTTGATAAGGGCAAGTGGCATGATGGTTAATGTCCTGGAGTTCCACATGGCCGACCGTGGTTTGAGTCCCGGACTTTGCATCTTGGGACTTTCTTACTTTTTCTCTTTCTCTCATTTGTCTGGTGAGTACACATGCCTTATAGTAAAATTTAAAAAAATAAATAAATAAAATTAATTAATTGTTTAATAAAAAGATCTGATAAGAAATTAAAACATTTTGATTAAGGTAAAGATAACAGTATCTTTTACTTAGAAGAAGACAAAACAAAGAAAAGTGGTTACGACAACTTGAACTGCTGTCTGGATCTCCTGGAGTCAAACTCTGAGGAGTTAGCCTGTAAAATCTATCTTAGAGAATGGCACTGGATGAGCATATGACGGCTGGGAGGGAAAACAAGCAAAATTGGGCAAAGACTCAGATCAAACTCAGCCTGTGAAGGCTGACAGAAGTCAACCCTGCATTAGTTCTGGAACTAAGATGGACCCAGTAGATTAATCCTTAATTAGGTCAAAATGTCTAGACTTGAGATTCCTGTGTCTTCCAGTGAGTAGTGAACTGGGGAACCTTTGCAGCCTTAGGAGAGTCAGTATGCAGTAGAAGAATTCCTGAAGAGGCAGGCAGCAGAAGTAGGGGGCAACAAGTCTTTGGGGATGGTCTAGGAAACAGCTGCCTGGGTTTTATGTAGAATTTATATGGAATTTATAAGCATATTCAGGAGCTCAATATATTATGTTAGAATGAGTGAAATTGTCTCAATGTAATGATTCTAAAAATTGCAAATCCATGGATATCTTATGCATACAATAAAATTACAGTTCAGAAATTGAGAAAAATGTATAAAGTTACTTTGCATAAGTGAGTAATGTTCATGGAACAAAGAAGTTATCAAAATACTTTAACATGAATAAATCTTATCATTTTATGTTTCCATATATGTTTGCTGTAATTTAAATATTAATATTGCCTTTGAGTAAACAATATAATATTTTAACCATCAGAATTTTCACATAATTAAATAGCTAATTTACTTGAAGGAATTTAAGGGACAATATAAATAGCTAGTTCGGAGAGGAAAATTCACTCCAAAACACTCTTAACTACAAAATCAAAGCTTGGATGTTAATTTTCTCTGTCAAAAGATATCCTTTGTCTTTCTTTTTCTACTTTCATACCACTTGATTTTTTAGACTGCCTTTTTAATTTTTTTTTCAGTTTTTACCAGAGAACACGTGCATTTACCAGAGAAAGAGAGAGAGAAAGAGAGGAAGAAAGCACCCTTATGAGGCAGATCACACCACAATTCCTTCTCCTCCATTTCTTCCTCCTTTTAGAATTTTGGATACCCATGAACACATGTCATGCATGTTTCTCAAGTCTCTGAGACTGTGTTTCAAACTACAAAGATGATCATATGTGATTTAGTCTTTATACCACCAGGCCACAATGCTGGCTCTTAAGTGTATTTTTTATGTATTTATTTTTTGTTTATTTTTTGTTTGCACTCACTGGAGAAAGTGTGAGAAAGCACCCCCAGGGAGGATGGTCCTGCTTTAATCCCTTCTCCATTCTTTTCTCAGGATCCTGGACACAAATACATGCATGCCCTGAGTATTTTCAATCCTCCAGGTCTGTGACTCTAACCGTACAGTCAGTCATGTGGGATCCAGCCACCTTAACCCCCATGCTACTTGCTGGCAAGTGTAATTTTTTTCTTTTGTTTTCTTATTCATTTATTTACATTCAATCATTATACATCTTTTTTACAGCATGAATTTTCCCAGCATGAATAAAATGTATATTAGTACAGTTAAAGATATTACCATAGAGTCCATTTTTAAAAGTTTATTTATCACAGTTAGATACCATTTAATCCCAGTTGAAATGGCTAAGGTTAAAAAAGTGAAGAGTGATAAGTGCTGGCGAGACTGTAGTGAAAAGAGAACCCTGTTACACTTTTGGTGGGAATATAAATTAGTACAACCACTGGGGAGAATGATATGGCAGTTACTCAGAAACCTACAAATAGAACTACCATATGACCCAGGAATTCCACTCTTAGGTATCTACCCAAAGGATAGGAAAATCCCCAGTCAGAAAAACAATTGCACATCCATGTTTATTGCAGCATTATTCATAATTTCCGGGACATGAAATCAGCTCAAATGTCCCAGAACAGACAAGTGGATTGAAAAAATGTGGCACGTATACTTTATGGAATGCTACTTAACCATAAAAAAAAAAAATGATATACTGACATTGCTGTGTGTGGCTGATCTTCCATCTTCCACATGACGATATTCAAGGTTTACACACTTTATTGCAGGCACACTTTTCTCGTGACATAGCATGAGGCCTGGTGGTAGAGCTCAGAGGAAGTTGTCAGGTGTGCTAGACTGCTGTGAAAGAGACTGACCTTGATTGCGAACTGGCTCCTCACAAACCTCATGGTGAAGTTCTTTTTTTTTTTTTTCCCTCTTTTTTGACTGTGCACTGCTGCTGTGCAGGAATATGGAGTCCTCAGGTGTCCTTGATACACAGAGCTCTGCTTGACAGCATTTTTTAAAAAATTCATTCAGTTAATCATATTTAAAAACCAAGTTAGACTAACTTGGATATCAAGAAAATTTGCTGATTTATATTACTGCATAGCAACCAGACACTAAAGAAAATATTGAGCTGAGAATCCTGTGTACACCAATAACATTGTCTCCCCACTGGGGAATCCTACAAAACTCGAGGAACATGAGCTGATACTTTAATAACCAAAAGAATGTTATCAAATACAAACACAAAGTGTTTTTTGTTTGTTTGTTTGTTTGTTTGTTTTGTTTGTTTATTTTTTTCTAGTTGTAAAAAATTGGAATTTCCTACCTATGGTTGTTTTCATTGGAGAGAGTTTATTTATTTATTTATTTAAATTTATTTTATACATTCAGTGTTCATCACCACAACTTGTAAATTTTCCCAGCATGAATACACTACACACCAGTGCAGTCAAAGCTATCATAAATATTATAATCAACAGACACTCCTCCATTTCTGAGTCCCTTAAGTGTCTTGCCTCTTTATTTATTTATTTAATTATTTTTTGAGAGGTTTTTGCTATAGGGCGCGTGTGCTCGCCAGAAAGACAGAGAGAGACAGAAAGAGAGAAATCACCACTTGGGAGGATGGCCACGCTGCAATCTTTTCTCCTCCATTCTCCTCTTGGGATCTTGGGCACACACGCGCATGTGCCCGGCATGAGTTTAAGCCACTGGGTCCAGGACTTGAACCACAGTTGACTACATGGGAGTCCAGTGACATAGCCATTACACTAACTGCTGGTCCCTTGCCTCTCTATTTTTCAACTTGATTCTTTGACACTCTTCTATCAGCTAGGGGAAGATAATTTTCTTTTATGCCCCCTTCCATATCAACAATGCTTTACTTTACTTGTTAAAGTTTATTTCAATTTCTCCCATGAGAGGGTGACAGGCTCCCTGAACAGAGTCTTCATGTTATAATCCATACCTGGTCTCAGCCAGCCCAAATTATGGGAAGACCCACGCATGCCTCATATGTATAGCAAGTCCTGCAGATGAGAACCAGGACCTTCTCCTGTGGTTCCAAGTATCACAATGCATCACATTTCTACTGTGCCAGTGTTGCACCACTGCTACCATCCCTAACTTCTTTTCCCTTAGAGTAATACAATTAAAATATGGTATATAACAAATTGTTACAAAATGCAGCATCTTAAAAGTATTTACTTTGGGGCCATCTGGTGGAATTGTGTCTAAGTTGGCTGGACTCCACAAGACTAACTGCATGGTTTGAGTTATAGATCCAGCAATTTAAAAACATGTTTGGTGCATGTGGTATGTTCCCAAAATCCTGAAAGGAGGGAGAAAGAGAGGAGAAGAGATTGTAATGTGACCATTCCTTCCTTGGAAGGGAGGCTTCCTTTCTTTCACTCTCTTTCTCTCTCTGGTGAGAACATGTGCCCTCCGGCAAATTAAAAATATATATATTTATTTTGTTTCCAGAACTGTAATTTGGGTTGTCTTCAGAGAATAATCGATTGTGTGCCCGTTGCATGCCAGCAAAATAAGCTAGAAGGATGGAGACTGGAATGATATGAAAATTGTTCACTCATTGGTGGTTGCTACTGATTTGGTTAAGATCGAGGTCTTAGCTGAGACTATTAAATAGAACATCTACATGTGGCCTCTCCATGTGGCGTGGGCTTCTTTTTAGTATGGTGGCTAGTTTCCCAAGACAAGTACTGAGTGAGATAGACAGAAATAGAGATAGAATGTAGGTGGAGATGGAAGAAAGAGAGAGATAGAAAGAAAGAAATCAGTAGAATAGATATCACCTTTTATGACCTAGTGTCAAAAATCTTACAGAGTCCTATCCATAACATTCAATTCATTGAGGCAGTTACAGAGTTACAAGGACAGTTACATGGAGAGAAGAAATAGACCTTATCTCTTGGTGGAGGAGTGATATAATACAAAAAATGGCAAATAGCCATGAAGTGGTTACCAGAGTAAGAGTTCTGTGACTTCCTGCTCATCCCTGTATATACTGTTGAATAAAGAAAACAGAGGCTCCTCTATTTTATGCCTGCTAGATATTGTAAAAGACAGAGGATTAAAGGCACATTTAATGGAGTTGTCTCTAAGATTAGACTTAGTAACAAAAGGCTTGGGTCACCCGATCTCGAATCTGTTTGGTCTTCACACTGTAGACAATGGGGTTCATGAGAGGAGGAATCAGAAGATACACAAAGCCCATGGCCACCTGGATTAGATGTGGTGCCTGCTTTCCAAAGCGGTGAATGACAGATAAGCCAATCATGGGCGTGTAGAAGAGGAGCACAGCACAGATGTGGGAAACGCATGTATTGAGAGCCTTGAATCTCTCAGCCCTGGAGGCGATGGACAGCACGGTGCGCAGGATCAGGGCATAGGACAAGAGGATGAGCAGTGAGTCCACACCCACTGTGGAAACAATGACAAACATGCCATAGATGCTGTTGGCCTTGATATCTGCACAGGCCAACTTCATCACCTCTTGGTGAAGGCAGTAGGAATGGGAGAGGACTGGGGAGCCACAGTAGGGAAATCTTTTCAGCATAAAAGGCAAAGGGAAAATGAGTGCTACACTACGGCCTAGAGAAGCCAAGCCAATCCTGCCAATGACTGTGTTGGTGAGAATGGAAGCATAGTGCAAGGGGCGACAAATGGCCACAAAACGGTCAAAGGCCATAGACAGGAGCACAGATGACTCTAGGAAGGACAAACAGTGAATGAAAAAGAGCTGAGCAAAACAGGCATCATGACCAATATCTCGTGCCCCAACCCAAAAGATGCCCAGCACTGTAGGGAGAGTGCAAAGAGACAGACCCAGGTCGGTCAGAGCCAGCATGGACAGAAAGAGATACATAGGTTCATGGAGTGAGGGCTCTGTTTTAATGATAAAAAGAATTGTACAGTTTCCCAAGATGGAAACCAGGTACATAAAACACAATGGAATGGATATCCAGATGTGCAAGTGCTCCAGCCCAGGGATGCCACTCAGAAGGAAAGTGGAGGATAAACTGCTGCTGTTGTCCAGGGAGCTCAGTGTCATTGTGTGGGAAGACAAGGGAGGAGTCGGGTTCCCTTCCAAATCCTGAAATAAAAGAAAATGCTAGTGATTGTACTTTGGAAAAATTTAAAAAAAAATAAATAAAGAGATAATCAAATAAACCTAGATTGTACAACTTCTAGAGATTGTTTCATTCTGGTTTCTGACTTCTTTGCAATATCTTTTTGAGGGAAATATTTTTTAGTTTTGTTGTCAATAAGAAACAAAGGCGTGGTATTTTACAGGGCTATGCAACATATAAGAGCTAAAATGGGTGGGATAGATATTTTACAAAAACTTTCTCACAATTTTTGCTTTTGGCTGGACTTTTAATCTTGTTTTTTTTTTTTTTTTTTTTTAGGAAAGAAATTTATCTAACTGTGTTCAAGCACAGGAAGTGACTAAGAGCTAATAAGCTCAGAAACAACTCCAAGAACAAAGATTTCCAGCACATTATATACTGTTCAAGTCTGTTTATCTAGAATATAGATTTAGCTAGTTCAGTGTTACTCTTTTTAATTTGTTTTTTATATTTTTGAATTATATTTTATCATTATATATATTTACAGTGTAAAACATGGTTTTTCTCAGTATGGATATTGTGCATATTAGTCAAATCAAAGACATTACCATATACATTATCAACGACAGAGAACATTTCATTCTTGTGTCTATTAAATGTTTTATTTATTTTTCACTCTTTTTTTTTTTAAGTTTCTTTCTTCTCTTTCTTGAGAGCAAGACAGAGGGAGATATAGAAACCCTCAACAAGATCTCATCATGCCTTGATCCCCCTTAGCCTTTCAGCCAGCCAAGATCACAGGTGTGTCCCTGGATGTACCTGGTACATTCTGGTGGACCTTGGTGCCTCCCACATAGCTCCCTACTGTGCATCACTGTAGCTGGACCCCTATGAGGTTTTTATTATGCTCAGCAATAGGGAGTACTTAGGAGATATGGGACCACGTGAGGAGGGAGAGTTCAGGCTCACTCTCTATTGCACTAAAGATTGGCAGTGGCTATGTGCAAGCAATGATGGTCACAGTTCTTATTCAAGAACTTTCCTCTATAGCAATATATCTTTTTGTATTCCAGTAATTGCTCTCTTTGCTCCTCCATGCTAAGAAGTGAGTGCATCTTCATATGACTGTCGGGCATATCTAACTTTATCTACCCCTTATGAATAGATCTTGCATTAAATACCCCTCACACTAGTGTTCCAACTTCTTTCATCTTCCCTTCCCTCCTCTTATTTTATCCTGCTTTCTTCACTTCTTTTATCTTAATCCTTTTTCTCCCTCTCTTTCTGCATTTGTTTAACTGCACAACCACATGTAACTCTAACCTTAGACACAGACCAACTCTTTACTCAACTCTTCTCTGGTCTTCCCAACACAGAACCTCATCCTAATCTGGACTGCTCATAAATGTTGCTTAACTCACAGAATTCCAGAGAGATTTAGAGGATATTATGAATGAATTTCTGTGTAGGTTTTCCTAACTGCTAGATAAAGAAAGAAAAGCCTCTAACCTTCTAGGTATGCCCTATAAGTCTAGGAATTGAATTGTTGTGTACCTAGGTAGCAGAACCCAGGCTGAAGCACCATCAGTCTTGGCCACATCCTCAAGTGTGAGGCTAAATTCATGGGTCGTAAACCAAAAGGTAATAATGCTGGTAGGACTCATTCTTCTATAGATGAAGAAATGAAATTCTGGAGTGTCTAGTCACTGGTCAGAGGTCATATGCCAACCTAGGCCTCCTGATTTCGAGAGCTGGGATTTTCCCACTCTGTTAAGAGTTCCAAAATAATGTGAACTCAAGGAGGGCAGAGGTCTCTTTATTTTCCTTTGTAAAGCAAGTGCTGAGAATATAATATGTATTAGGTGCTCAGCATATTTTGTATGAATAATAATTAAATTTGCTAATAGTTAACTATTAGTAATTTGGTGCACATTTAATCTCTTCAAGAAATTCTGAGAATAATGGTTCTACCAATAGTGCCACATCATAGATGAGGAAATGAGGTTTAGAAAAAAAGTTAAAATGTCTAAAAACAGAGAGATTTAAACAAAGATCTGATTTTTTTTTTTACCTAGATTTCAGACACTCAACCATTGTTACACCTTTCTTCCCATATGGATGATAATTCAGTGTCAAATAGCAGTAGCAATATAAAATCAAGGGCTTAGTAGGCCTTGTAGAAAGTACTGAGTCTTTAGTTGAATTAATAAATAAATTGATTAGAGAAATATACATACATATGTACATTTTCTCTCTCACTCTAAACTCCAGTGCCATTAATAGCCAGTGTCAGTTACTCACTGCTTGCTTGAAGGTCAGATTGGTCCTTGTGCTCTGCTTCTCAGTTTCTGCTATGCCCATGATCAGTTTTTATCACATTATCAAAATGAATTCAAAATAGCTGTGATAAATTTATCTGTAAGGGACAGACAATATAACTCATATAACCTTAAGCAGAAAATAGCATTGCCATTAGGATGTTGAAGAAGAAAGAAATATAATACCTTATGAACTTCTACTTGTTGCCAGGCTTTCTATCAGGAACATTACGAAAAGAACCATATTTAGACCTTAGACAAACCTTACAAGTTGGTGTCATGACCCTTCAATTTGCAAATGAGGGAAGAGAGGCTTAGCTAATTTGATCATGTGCTTAATGTCATATAGCCAATCCGTGCCAGAGCTGGAATTCACACTCGTATTCTAGAAGCTCCAAAGCACATACTGGGAAAAAAAAAGTAGGTTAACAAATTCACTTGTTTAAATTCAGATAGACTGAAATGGGTGATCTTATTTTTTTCTTCCTTGTTTTCATTTAAATGTATTTATTTACATTCATTCACTATATATCATTACAACATACAAAATGAGATTTCCATCCAGAATACACTGTATATTGGCTTAAGGAAGCACATCAACGTACCTGTTATTGTCAACAAATAATTTTCCATTTCTTGTTTTGTGTATATTTTGCTTTTTTCCCCCATCTTTGATTCCCTATCTCTCACCCTCTGTCATCTCCCATCGTCCTCCCACACTCTGGTATGACAAATAATATAGATAAATATCAACAATCTTTGGTTGCTATTTTTTGATTGCTCTAAGCTTAAGACAGATTCTCTTTGGAATCATAACTTACACTTCAGTTTATAAGGGAGTAGGGCAGAATGGAAATCAGAGAGAGAACATGAGGATAGGTTTCATGAGGGAACCTGGAAATAAAAGAAAATCCTGAATTATAAAGTCGGAAGACAGCTGCTTGGAAAAGATCACCTTTAGTCTTCTGGGTGGATTGGTTTTAGTAAGATATTTATGCTAAGGACTTCTTTTATTTGTTTTTATTATTATTATATGCATACATTAGCTCATTATATGTCTTTTGACTTACAAAGAGAATTTACCCAACACGAAATTCACCTCAGACTAGTCCAGTTGAGAATGCTATCCATGTTATCATCAACAGGTAATAAACCATTACTGTGTCCTATAAAGATCTTGCCTCTCTATTTCCCCCTCTAATTTCTCTCCCTACACTCTTCCTCTCTCCTGCTCTCCTTCCACACTGTCTCCAGTGTCTGCAACTATTTTCAGTGCTTTTATGTTTTTCCAATCTTTCAATCTCTACAATAGAGTGTGGATAGTCGGTATACATTAAGAGAAAACACAATGTTTCTTCCATAACTTGGCTTACTTTATGCTAAGGGTTTCTAATTAAAAGATCTTCAGAGTATCCGTTATTAAGTTTAGTGAGGATTTCATTATCCCCGACTACTATAAAATTGGTATCCAAGGCAAAGTTTGAATGGCAGGGTAGAGAGAATCCATGGCCTTTCTGACATCAATTTCTACCTCAGAGACTATTTCCTGAAAGAATGTAACCAATAATAATGACTGCTCTCTCTGATTTTATTGTTTGTATTCTGTAGTCAGGGAATGTCCTCTTACATCACAGGAAAGCTTTTTTTCTCAGAAGGTCAAATTACTTTCTGTCCATATATCTCTACTTTTTGGAAATAACTCCTGACTCTACTAACATCGTATGTGAGGCTAAGGTATAGATGTTAAACCCTTATTAACAGAACTCAGTCTATTCCTGCACCTCAGTTTTGCTCACCTTACTTGCTATTTTCTTGGTCTTATCAATGTTCCTGATATCAATGTACAAAGTGACTCTCTGGGAAGGAAATCACAGCATTTAATGAATATAAGAAAGCTGTTGGTCTGCTTTTTGAACTGGTGCTAAGATTACAACTAGAATCCCATGAAGGCAGAAAGATCTGTTTGAAAAGTTACCATCTGTAGCAGGCATCTTCCATGGCTTCCTGTGGTTAAAGTCCTACTCCTCCTTTCCCTCTCCAAAGCTTGGGCTGAGTCTCCTTGGACAGCTTCTTGATGCCACTTTTTAGCACTGAATACTTGCCTACGATTTGACCCCTCACATGCCAAGTCTAGGTCCAGATCTTACACCAAAGAAGAAGAAAGGCTGAAACTAGAGCCCGTGGGAAGTATGGAGAGACTGGAGAGTGGACATTTAAATCTCTGATTTTTATGCAACTGTCTGGGTACCCATTGAGACCCTTTGAAGGATCTTTAATCAATTTCTACCAGAACTGGCTCCCTGGACTTAATTATCTCAGACTCAGGGGATATGAAAAAAAGAGGGAAGGAGATTTGTTTTGTGAGATTTCCTTGAGGGATGCCCAGAGAATGCCATGCCTCTTACAAAAGAGGCCCATATTAGGTATATGAACCATGTTGTAAAACATGTATAAAATAAAGGAAATTGCAGATCAAAGGGTGTGTAAATCATGTCCTGGCCAAAGGATAGTGACTTCTATTTATTTATTTATTTATTTTTGCCAGAAGGTGTGTGCACTCACTGGAGAGAGAAAGTTAGAAATTCCTTACGAGGAATTGCCAAACCACAATTCTTTATCTATATTTACTTTTTGGATTTGGGGCATAAATGCACATGTGCCAGGGATATTTTTTCAATCTATCAAATCCAGGATTCAAACTGCACAGGTGATCATCTGAGATCCAGCACCCCAACCACCATAACAACAACTAGCCCAAATGGTGACCTGATCCAGTGTAAAAACACTTCATGAGGCCAGTGTGTGAAAAAGCCTAGAGAAAGTATAGTTATGGAAGTGAGGCATATCTTTATGCATGAGCATATCTATAGAGTTTTATTTTTGAAAGTATGTAAGCATTCTTGTTCAATATGTGTGTCTGCTAAAATTTGGTATTCTATTAGGATAGACATTTATATGAATTTACAAATTTGAAATACTTGAAGCACTTTATAAATAAACATGTTCTTTTCTTTGTATCATATCCTCATTTGCCTTTTTGAAGTTATACAGAATTGGTTATTCTTATAGTTCTCTTTCTTAGTGCTTTCCTCACAGGTAAAGACAAGGCTATAAAACTAGTTATTTTTCAATGGAGCTGACTTTCTTATAGTACCCCTAGTTCTGTTTCCTCTTCATGGTGCAAAGATACATCTTTGTGTTTCTCTTTCAATGACTTTCTTTTTGGCTCCTATACTCAGGCCAAGATAACTGGAAAGGAAAGAAATCATTGATCCCAAACATTCTCCTTCTCATGATTCCAGGTAAAGCTTTAGAAAAGGAGACATCCACATGCATGAATATATAAAGTGCTGTAGTTCATTCTTTCTGTGTCTAGACATGTAAAAATATAGATGAATTCACACAAATTGGCCAACCGAGACACATGTACCAGCAAAAAAAAATCATGGTGTAGCAAATATATACACATAAGAACATCAAAACAAACTCAGAAAGAACAACAGTAGTGTGTATGTATGTGTGCATGTATACGTTGCCTGGTGCAGCTAGACATGGAGTTGAGAAAATATCTTGCAAATAAGCACATATTTGATGACTGCAGTAAGCTATATAGCCCCAGCTGGGTACTACTTTATAATATGTTCATTCTACTCACTGAGGTTTATGCCTAAAGTTAGACTTGGGTTCATGTATAGGTATATATCAGCTGTACTAGCTATTGGATATATTTAGACTAATTAAGTTCATTAGCAAATCAACTAAATGGGGGGGGGAGAAGGCATAGAAAGCAACCATGGATACCGGAGACAATGTGGGAGGAGGGTGGGACATGGCATAAGGTGAGGGAATCAAGGATGGCAAAACAAAAAAAAACAAAGTATACAAGACATAAGAATTGGAAAATTATTTGCTGATAACATGTATATTGATGTGCTTGATTGAGCCAATACACAGTGTATTTTGGATGGAAAATTCATTTGTATGCTGTAATGATGAATTAATGTAACAAATAAATAAATTTAAAGAGAAAAAAATAAATAATTAAAAAATAATTATGCTCAGAAAAAAAAAAGCACAAATAATGTTTGCTTGTTTTCCTATAACTCAAGAAGGAAATGAGAAGCAATAAACTTCAACCTCAGTGACCTCTTCTGAGGTCATTACCCATGAGAATTTTCTGTTGTTATTTCAATTTAATACCATCCCTTAAACTCGTAGGACATTTGTTCCTTTTTAAAGTTTTGTAAGTCTATATTTAATATATTTAGCAAGCAACGTTATGAAAATTCACTGCTTATTATAAATAAATTAAAATTAAAATGATAATAAAGTAACCTAAAATAAGTACTTAAACTATAAATTTAAAAAGATCAATCATTTGGGCCAGCAGATGGCATGGTGGTTATGGGCACTGGACTCCCACATGGTTGACTGTGGTTCCAGTCCTTACTTTCTCATTCTCTCTCTTTCTCTCTCTCTGTCACTCTGTCCCTCTCTGGTCAAATTAAAATAAATAAATAAATAAATATAGTGAAATAAAATATTTCTTTTTTTCTTTTTTTTTTTTTGGAGAGGTTTTTGCTATAGGGCGCGTGGCTCACCAGATAGACAGGGAGAGACAAAGAGATAGAAAACGAGAAATCATCCCCCAGGGGGGATGGCCATGCCGCAATCCCTTCTCCTCCGTTCTTCTCTCAGGATCTTGGGCATGCACACACACGCACCCAGCATGAGTTTTAAGCCACTGGGTCCGGGACGCTAACTGTGGTTGACTACATGGGAGTCCAGCGACATAGCCATTAGGCTAACTGCTGGTCCCGGTGAAATAAAATATTTCTTAAAAAAACAGTCATCGATTAAATTCTACTGCCCAGTGTATTAAATCCATAATTTGGATTTTCTCAATTAATAAGAATTAATATTTATTGAGCATTGTATATTTGTTGGGCACTGTGTTAGGGACTTCCAATAACTGTCTCATTTAATCACAACATTTCTACCAGGAAGGAAGTATAATGGTTTCCATGCTCATTTTTCAAATGAAGAAATTTATGAGTGAAGAGCTAGGTAATTTTTCCAAGGTTACACAGCTTGTTTGTTGCACAGATAATTACCTTTTTGTTTATGATTGAGAGTATAATATTTTCCCACAGCATACCTAAAAAACAACAACAATCTGTAGGATTTATGCCCAAACTCTCTTCACTTCACCCTAACCTAATCCTGATGAAAACACCTAAGTGACTTTACAAATTCAAACTTCTTAGCAATGCGTTGGCGGATTTGCTTCGTCTTGATGCTGTAGACGATGGGGTTCATGAGGGGTGGTACCAGCAGATACACATAAGACATGAGGAGGTGTACAATACGGGGCAGATGTTCACCAAAGCGATGCACAAGAGACAATCCAATCATGGGGATGTAGAAGAGTAGCACAGCACAGATATGGGAGACGCAGGTGTTGAGCGCCCGGAGTCGCTCCTGGCGAGAAGCAATGCTCAGCACAGTCCGAAGGATGAGAGCATAGGAAAGGAAGATGAGCAGGGAGTCCACACCCACCGTGCAGGCCACAACAAAGAGCCCATAGACGTGATTGACGATGATGCTGGAGCAGGCTAGCTTCATGATTTCCAGGTGCAGACAGTAGGCGTGGGCCAGCACATGGGAACGGCAGTACTGGAAGCGCTTAAGGAGAAAAGGCAAGGGGAGGATGAGAAGGGCACTTCTAAACATGGAGCCCAGACCCATCTTTATAATGCGTGCAGGCGTCAGGACTGTAGCATAACGCAGTGGGTTGCAAATGGCCACGTAGCGGTCAATGGACATGGACAATAGAACTGAAGATTCCACTAGAGACAAGGTGTGGATGAAGAAGAGCTGAGTAAAGCAAGCAGGGATGCCGATCTCTCTGGCATCAAACCAGAAGATGCCCAGCACTGTAGGCAGTGTGGAAAGGCAAAGGCCCAAGTCTGTGAGTGCCAGCATGGCTAAGAAGTAGTACATGGGTTCATGGAGGGTGGCATCGGTACGGATGACATGGAGGATGGTGAGGTTCCCCAAAATCACTGTCAGGTAGATAGAGCAGAAAGGAATAGAGATCCAGCCATGCAGATCTTCCAGACCTTGGAAGCCCGTCAGAAAGAAAGTGGCTTTTTGGAGACTGCTATTGTGAGAGATTGTCATGGCTTTATGATCTTGGATTTACCAACCTGTGATATGGAATAAGATTATTGGAGAGTGACAAGGCTGAATTTGTACTCACCTGTATGTCCCAGGACTAGTGAGTCAGGAAGGGTCTACATATGGCATGAGAGAGAATTGAGGGATCTGATTTCTTAGCCTTTCTAAGTGGTCTAGGGAAAGGATTACTATAACCATGGATGATGTGTGATTTAGCCTCATGGTGGTATATCCACCAGTGTTGGCTTCTCAGAGTCTAATGAGGCCACCTAAGACAGCAGTTTTTCAATGGGCTCCACTCTGAAAATTTCTCCATCATTCAGAATCTGTATCACATTTAAGGGAAATTGATACTTCATATCATTTTGGATAATTGCCTTCTAGGAGTAGGTATGTATAAAGTGTCTTCAAAGACTTTTGTTATTTTCCAGAGGTCTTTGTTTTATTCCATGGTACCTAGCCTACAAGGGAAACAAGAGGAAATATTTAGTGAATGTTTGTTGAGAACTTTGAACTTGCAATTTGTGACAAGAGCAATGCCTCTCATCTTTGTAACAGCTTTTGGTGAGTGAGGAGGCATGTGGTAGCATGCAAATCTGAAGCCTGGAGTTGAGTAACATCTTAAAAAATAACTGGGATTCCTGAAGAAAAACAATTCCATTGGTTTTTCAGAAAAATCATGACTTTTTTCTCCATTTTTCTATGCAAAAACACATCATGACTTTTCTGACAACTCAATAGAAAAGGGAGTTTTGGGTTTAGTTCTGAGCAATTATCAAGAGAGCTATGTATCTCCAGTATCAGAGCAGGTACACCATGCCCAGAGGTAGTGATGGGGATGCAGAAGAAGTGCGCACCAAGTCTGAAGCAGGAGAGAAGAGAAATCTGGAATAACTAAAAACAGTCTCTAATATTTAGCTTAAAAGAAGGCAGTTTAGTCCAAAGGCATTCAGAGTCAGAGGTGCTTCTGGGATTTCCATCAATGTGATTTCTAGGGATTGGTTTGTTCTTGGAACATCTGGCTTCTCCTTTGATCTGCCTTCAACATTTTTATTCAGTTTAATTGCAAAAATGCTCAACAGTGTTCCATATAGATGAGTGTAGTGCAACAAGAATATTGTGTATCACTTGCATAGAAACCTTAAAATAGGGCCAGCAGATGGCATGGTGGTTAAGAGTCTGGATTCTCACATGGACAACTGCAGTTCAAGTCCTTGTCCTGATGGCTTGGAAATCCTGCCAGCACGTGTATGTGTGTGTGTGTGTGTGTGTGTGTGTGTGTGTGTGTGTCCAGACTCCTGAGAGGAGAATGGAAGAAAAGGGGCTGCAGTGCGTTCATGCCCCCTGGTGGGTGATGTTTCACTTTTCTCTCACTGTCTCTCTCTCTCTGGCAAGAACTCACACCCTATGTGGAAGAAACAAAAGCAAAAACAAAAACAAAAACAAACAAACAAAACTTACAATAGATAGCATTTTTACACATATTATGCATTTGTTAATTTTCAAAAGGTCTAATCTGTGGGAACCAGCAGTTAGCGTAATGGCTATGTCACTGGACTCCCACATAGTCGACTGGAGTTCGCGTCCCGGACCTGGTGGCTTAAAACTCACGCTGGGCACGTGTGCGTGTGTGCCCAAGATCCCAAGAGGAGAATGGAGGAGAAGGGATTGCGGTGTGGCCATCCCCCAAACTTACAATAGATAGCATTTTTACACATATTATGCATTTGTTAATTTTCAAAAGGTCTAATCTGTAATATGCCATTCGACTTTGACATCAATTCTATCAAATAAGTTCTATTCCTAGGAGTTTGATACAGGTGAGAGGATCGCAACAGAGGGAGATAAAGTAACTTGAGTTAGGTTACAGACTAAGTAAGCACTGAAAATGAAACTCAAACTCTGACAGTACACTATAAATTATACAGTACACAGTAATATATACTGGACTTCATACCATATCCACACTGCTAATATATCACATATCAACCTTCACACAGTTGGACAACTTTTACAAATAATTATAAACCTCCATAAATTTCCTACATGGTTCATGTCTGTAGATAACTATTTCCATTATGCAAATAACATCAGGTGAAACAGGATGAATAACAATAGTGAGAAAACATGTGTTGGGGACTGAGTTTAATTTTAGACATGTTGAATGTAAGTTTAAAAAGAAATTCCTGGGTAGAGTGTTTAAAAAATGGTGGCGTGATCTTTGGTTTAAATGAGGGCTTGAGGTACAGTGTGGCAGACAGTGCTAAGAGATACAATGTGAAGAGGAAAGACAGAGCCTCAGGTCATAATACGAGGAACTATTTTAAAGGAGAATGAGAAATAATATTAAAACTAGAAAAGAGGTAAAATAAAGGTATATAGTAGAGAATGTCAAAAAATCAAACCTGCAGTGTTTGACTGCAAGAAAGAGATAGAATAAGATTTTTGTTTGTTTGTTAGCTATAGAACACATGCGTTCACTGGAGAGAGACAGGGAGAGGGAGAGAAAGTGAGAAATCATTCACCCTTGCCCCCGACTCCCCAAGGGTGTTTGGCTACACTGCAATCCTTTCTCCATTCTTCCCCCAGGTTTCTCGGAACATACCCACAAGTGCCTGGTGTGTCCCTCAATTTTCTGGGTCTGGAACTCAAACTGCACAGTCAGCAATGTGGGATACAACCACCACAACCTCCAGGCCACCAATTAGTCATATAGAGTAAGAGTTTTAAAAAAGTCTTTGTATTTATGATGGTAAAGTCATGGCTGATTTTTTAGAGCATATTTCAGTACACTGGGAAAGAAATATTTGGGATTAATTACCAATGAGTAGGAAGAAATGTATAAAATCCTATATTCTGTGAGAGTTTCTTGTAAGAAAATCTATAGATGGGTGAGGCTATTGGCATTTTTAAGGAAGAAAATTGAAAATACTCTTTTAAAAGGCTTTCTTTTTCTTTTTTCTTTCAGTAATGTAGGGGAGCATTGAGAGGAAAGAATAAAATCTATAGCCAACATTTGCCAATCATGTTTAAATCAAAACAAATGATGAAATAATATAATAATAGGGTAATAAAGTGCACCTCATTTTATGATTGCAAAGGAGAAACAAGAAAATTATATAAAAAGGGATAGCTAGGAAAGAAGAAGAAAAAAGGAGAAGAATAGAGGCTTGGTAGGAAGTAGGCTATGAAAGAGAAAGTGAATATCCCAGGAATTCGAGAGCAAGCTGTGGGTAGCTTAAACAACAATGTAAGAATATATACACACACATATATATTCCACCAGGAGACTTGCTGTGAAGCTGATTTCCACCAAATAAACGGAAGCATTTCAGAGAGTTTTAGAAATAGAAGAAACATTTAGAGGCCATCTATTCTACTCCTGTACCTCTAGACAGAAAAGAACCATACTATCAACCTAGTGATTGTATACATGGTATTCCATTCCAGCTATTATTTCAATTTCCAAATATATTACTTGCATAATGCATTAAGAATATGGGTAAAAGCCAAATGTTCAAAGTATTAGGAGGCAAAAAGAAACAAACAAATAAAGCAGAACTAGCACCAGAGACAGAATTGTTGCATCACTAGAGCTCATACCCTGGTATATATTTGGAACCTAAAAATGCTTGCTGAATAAGTGTTGAATAAATATATGAATGAGTGAATGAGAAAAGAGATGAGATGCAGAATATTTTTTAATGCAGCTACTCTACATTTTCTTCTCAGTGGAACTCATCTTCAGATCAGTGAATCAGAAAGATGTCACCTGTTTCCTCTACTAGATGACAAGATAAATCCGTGATCCTCCCTTTAACTCTAATTTATTGGAATAAAGAAATGTCATCCTGGGGTTTATAACAGAGACAGAGAAGAGGTAGATTAGGCAATGATCCCGATGACATTCAAACTCTCTATGATTGCATTTCTGGTATAATTGCACACAAATGTACTTACTATTAACAGTGCACGTGCTGGTGGCAGTCTGCAAATTACTCCCAAGGAAAATCATAACTTATAACAATATGGAGCTTAATTGTTACAAAGTGCTGTTAAATACACTTTAATATTTAATTATCACAATATAATTTTAAGGTAAGGAAGCTATGTTTTAAAGATCAAGAAACTTATGTTCAAAATGATGGGAAAAGAAATGAGAGGTAGCAGGGATTAAGCAAAATGATAAATGGGACATTTATGAGAACATACACAGTGACAGAGCTAGAACTAGAATCACAGGTTCCTCCTTTCTGAGTCTATCTGCCACTTTAAACTGCCCAAATAACATTACATGGAAATGTAGCCAATAGCTAAGACCAAGAGCTCAGTGAATGGCCCAGGTCTGATGTGCCCAGTTACCTCTGTGTACTGACTATTCTCTAGGTGGTTCTGCTTGCAATACTTACTTGAGTACTAAGAGCAGGGCAGAAATATTCTTGGGAATATATTTTCATCCAGAACCAAAGTGGATGGAGCTCCACTGCACAATATTTCCTGTTTAACACTCAGGGTTTTTGAAGAGTTCAGTAGCTTATCTCAGCACCTTCTATGGAGCCTGAGAACTCCCTGAAGAGTTCTCAAGGCTCTTAGCTGAGGATGGAGGCCACATGAGGCTAAAAAACAAACACAGGAGCAATGAGGCAAGAAAGAAAAAACAAAGTGCTAAGAGGAAAATCTATCTTGTTTGTGGACAAGAGCTATTTTGAAGGTATTAGGATGTTTCTTTTTTTTTTTTTGGAGAGGTTCTTCCAGAATCAATTTACACAGTTGAAATAGACATCTGAACAGAATTATTGATACTTAGTGGATTCTCAGTAAATACCATTTTAAAAAGCTTTTTTTTTCTTTTTACTTTTTAAGTTTTATTTCTCTGCCCCATAAGCAAGAGAGATAGAGTGAAGAGAGAGGAAGAGAGAGTACCTCCAACATAGTCTTGATGCCACAATCTACTCTAAGCCTCAGCCAGGCATGGATCATGGCACCTACATGCCCTGTGTACT